ATGCTAGCTTGCCAGAGTTGCACATAAACTCTTTGCCATGTGGGCACTCTGCCTACACAGCTTCACGTTGAATGCCAAATACATGTTGAGAGTTTACAACCTTCTGAGACAAACCAGGAGTAAGAATATGGACGTTGTATTCAGTGATCTGCCACTAGAGAGCGCTCTCAGTCTTGGGAAAACATTTTGAGTCTGACCACTTCTGACTTATTAAGAACCTTAAGGATCGTATTAAGCGTGTGTGTAAAGACAAGAAAAGACGAGGTTTCTTTGGGCAGACTCTTTACTCGATCTGCAGAAATAACATAAGCTGCTTGAACATCAAGCAGACTTGCAGTTAAGAGTTATGATGACTTAGTGCAGGACATCCTGCTTGGATCAACCTACATGCATGAAGATGTGCAGCTGTTTCGTTCTGATAGGACAGTCACGCTGACACATCTTTTGCCTGCATAGCTGTGGGTGAGGTGGTACCTATGTTTAGATATATCTATTGGACTAATGTAAAGCACGTAAAGCTCAACCTGTTCCTTCATCATGTTCTCTGTAGAGATGCTTTCTAGTTCTGTCAAATAAATATTTTCTACAATGCTCTGTGCTGACTTTCACACAGCACCACGGGGACAATCACCAGGCGTTAAGGTGGACCAGGGTATTAGAAGACTTTGAAATGAAAACTAAACACACATTTACTGTCAGGGTCCTGGGTCTCCTGACCCAGCGTTTTTAGTTCTTTGTGATTTTTGTATTATTGTACTTGTGTGTGATTTATTCTATGGTTTCTAGTTTTGATCCCCTGCCCTTCATGTCTCTCTGTGTCCCCTCTGTTCTGTGTAAGTCTGTGTCTGCATGTTTGAGTTTCCCTCTGGGTCTTTTGGTTCATCGAGTCCTCTGCCTTACTGGTTCTGTCTCTGTGTTTCTTAGTTGCTGTCTCCACCGTGTCAAGTTCGCGTCTCTGTGTCATACTTCCTGTTTTACTTTGAAAGTCCGTGTCTTACGTGAATGTGTTCAGTTTACGCTTCCTTGTCTCGTCAGTTCTGATTTCCCCCACCTGTGCTCTCCTTCTGTGTCTCATTCCCCTCGTTACTTCCCAGTGTATTTAAACCCTGTGTTTCTCTGAGTCAGTGTCGTGTCGTACCCTCAACAAGCTGTGTGTTTTGCCTCCGTGTTTCCAGTGTTTTGTCTCCAGCTCAGTATTTCTGCTACAGTGTTTTAGTCCAACAGCGTTTTTGTTTGTCTTTTGGTGAGTTTAGTTTAGTAAGAGGTTTTTCCCAGCAATAAAGCTGCGCTTTAAGTT